TAAAATCTTTTCAAAACAAAACACTATAAGTGAAAACAAATATTAATTAAATAGATCGTTGTCAATTCTTTCTTTACAATAATAATAAGAAAATTAAAAATGTGAAGACATGGCTGTATGGGCGCAGTTTCCTTTGCCTTTCCGATAAAGGATAAACACAACAAAAAAAAAACAGTGATAATAATAAAAAAATTTTTACTATGGACTCCCGTCCAAAACACTTTGCTGAAGTTAGCAAACTCATGGATCGAAATCGAGGTAACTTGAAAATAAAGCTTAATATTATCTAAATTTTATTTTTGGTAGTAAATAAAATATTAAAATATTTAGGTAAATAATAAATAAGTAGATACATACCAATGGACAATTAACACAGCGCCATCTAGTCCCACGGTAAGCAGAGCTTGTGTTATGGGTACGAAACTGATATTGGTTTATGTATTTTTATAAATACATAAACCAATATACATAGAATACACCCAGACCGATACAACAAAACTCACGAATATTTGCACCGCGAGAGGAATCGAACCCGCGACCATCGGAAGTAAAGCAGTGTGCTAAACCGCTAGACCACCGAGGTCTAAATCATGATATCCTCTAGTTGAATACCATAATTTAGAGTCTCAATTAGTTTCTGCATCGCTTTCCGCATCTTGTTTAACATAATGCTTATGTAATTACAATACCTCATGTGTCCTATATTTTTCCCAGAAGATAATCTTTCAACGTCACGCATGATTAATGATAATATCTTATTACCACGATGATGCTGTGAAACATTTGTGACACGGGTAAATAGCGTCTGTGACAGCACAGCCAACACTTCCGTGTATGGTTTTATGTTAGAACAAGTGAAACAGTGATCTATCAACCTGATCATGAGTTTAAGAAGAGAAGTTAGCGTCAATGTTAATGAATTTGAAAATAGCAAATTAATTATGGAGATGTACTTCTTAACATTCCATGGAGTCATCGTGCGGATCCATCGTATACACACCATGTAGGAAAGGGAAACTCCGTGTAGTTCCCGGAATGTTTAAGGGGCTCTGTTGCGGGTAAATAATACGATATTGTCGGTTGAGACGATGTATATTACAGATGATAATAGACTGACAATATGTACATAGAAATAATGATCTTATATACTAAATGACAATAGGAAAATGTAAAGTCGGGTGACAAAGTTTAGACACAGCAGTGCTTAGTACACAATATTGGATTTATCTTACTAGACATTATTGAATGCAATTATTATTTCTAGGTAACTGTGTCCCATAGGCTCCTTTAAGGACGTCACAACACACACCTTTACCTTTTGTGTTTCTCTCCCTGCCCAGCCAAATCTAGTAGGAGCCTGCTAATGCAGCTGTAGATACATGTTCTAGTATAAAAGTTACTGCAGTTCTAGACAGGCCAAGAACTATTAGAATATTCTAGAGTGATTTCACCGGGACTTATGACCCGAGTGTAGGTTTAACTCTTTGTCGAAGTCAACACTCACCTTCAGCACTCGTGTTTCTCGCCCTGCCCAGATATATCTGGTAGGAGTCTGTTAGTAGTAGATTTAGATACACGTTCTAGTATAGAACCTACTGCAGTTCTAGACCCGGTTGTAGGTTTAAGGGCCCCTTTGCGGTCAACACTCACCTTCACCACTCGTGTTTCTCGCCCTGCTTAAACATATCTAAAAGGAGCTTGCTAGTGTTGATTTAGATATACGTTCTAGTAAACTTACTGCAGTTCTAGACAGGCCAAAAACTATTAGAATATTGTAGAGTGATTCCGCTGGGACTTATGACCCGGGTGTAGGTTTAACTCTTTGTCGAAGTCAACACTCACCTTCAGCACTCGTGTTTCTCGCCCTGCCCAGATATATCTGGTAGGAGCCTGCTAGTGCAGCTTTAGATACACGTTCTAGTATAAAAGTTACTGCAGTTATAGACAGGCCAAGATCTTTGATCTCTTGCCAACGTACATCAACACTCACCTTCACCGCTCGTGTTTCTCTCCCTGCCCAGTCAAATCTGATAGGAGCCTGCTAGTGAAAATTTAGATACACGTTCTAGTATATAGAACCTACTGCAGTTCTAGACAGACCAAGAACTTTTAGAAGATTGTAGAGTGATTTCGCTGGTATATTTCTCGCTGCCACTTCGACCGTATATGAATTTAACACATATCCATTTTTAATCAATTCGTTTATTACTACGTATGAGATATTTGTTTTTATTACACGGTATTTAGTCATTTTTGTTTCCTAAGATCGATTGAATTTAGCCAGCGTGTAATTTTGTATTTTTCACAAGGCATATTGATCTACTATAAAAAAATAGACTAATGCTCTATTTATTTGTAAATACGCAAAAACATATTAAAAAATAAGAACTATAATATTACATCTATTACAAACAACAAAATTACTACGAACAATATTATAAATTTCATAAAAGTACCTCATAGAAAAAATTATATTCGAATTTATATTTAACGTAATGTTTGAGATTACTAATAAATGTTGAATGACGTACATATTAAAAACGTGTGTATATAATGAAAATACTACGTCAAGAGTCAATAAGAAATGTATAGAAGACATAAAATACTCATTAAATGACATTAAAAACATTAAATAAAATAAAACTATTGAAACAGTCACCATAGAAAATTATACAAAAAGTGCAATTAGGATGAAAACTGGCGGGGTGATGCAACACGTGCTATTTCATGATTTACCTAATTAACATTAATAAATGCCAGCTACACAACAATTTTGCATTGAACCACGAAAATGTAAATTTTTGATGCTTAGTCAAGTTGCAAGAGGAATATAAAATTAATTACTAAATTGATATCAAATAACACAATAATGAAACAGAAAAAACTTCTTATGATAAATATAGACCAAGATTTCCCGTCACAGATTTACCAAATAACAAAATACTGTAAGAGCATGTAAATCTTCAAAAAAGAGAAAAAATACAATGCGCACTCAAATAACTTGCTACTGCTAATGATCATAAGCTATTAAATAATATTACTAATAATAATAATATCTCTGGACAATTAACACAATCCCAAGTTAAGTAGAGCTTGTGTTATGGGTACTAGTTGACTGATATACATTTAAGTGTAGAAGCATTTTTTTGTAAATACATACACAATATACATAGATAATATATATGTATCTACCAGATCCCAGAATGTACAAGCAATTATACTCATGAATGTTTGTACCGTGCGAGAAATTGAACCTGCAACCTTTACAGAAGTAAGGCGGTATGCTAAAACGTTGGATCACCGACGCCATCATTATTAAAATGCTACAACATTATTACGATTGTTTACTTTCCCACAAATAACATACTTTATATTTTGAGATTCTATTAAAAATCGAGTGCAGCGTTTCACTCAAAAGATAAAAGCAATTCTATGTTTCGTGCAATACAAAGAAGCAATTAACACAACGAGAGCCGTCGCTGTGGGGAATGTGAAGGTTTTCCAAAGCCAAGTGCACATTATCAGTACAACAATAGTTTTCAGAAATAGGACCGACAGAAAGTTGTTTTATACAAAAACATCCGTTAGATTACACGAATCGAAGGGTGAGGTAGAGAGAATTAAATCGATTACAAAACATCTAATCATTTCAGAAAAGAAATAGAAAAAATACATAAATAATATAAAGTACAACTAATAGAAGATAAAAGTATATTTTTCTTAACTCTAATAGACTATGTCACTATGACTGCCCTGATTTGGCGTATTTTGGCAATATTATATTGTATCAGTGAGGCAGATAATTAAAATAGTTGGAGAAAAATATTTACCCCAAAAATTTCACGTTCATAATCGACGAAAATGTCCTAAATGAAAAAATAAATTTTGATTTTACTTGATTGGTTAGCTAAAATAACTACTATTAACTATTTACTCCATCTGGAAAAATTATAGGTAAGCGTACAATTATTTTGCCATTTAAAAATATGTACTTTTTTAGTATTAAAACAGTACACATGACTGTTTTAATAGTAAAAAGAACTAAATCTATAGAGAACATTAGCGAGCTCACAACATCAGGGCATACAATGACACGAATATATATTTCGTATTTATATTTATCAAAGATTCTACATAATCTAGAATTAAAATCTGGGAATAAATTGCCACGCTTACAACAAGTACATGGTGTAATAAATCAGATCAAATCAAATTAAAAATCCTTCAGGTTATTTTAGCTGTTATCAACGTCAAGTTTGTTGTATTAATATATTTTCATTACAGTCCAGTTCAATGTACATGAAATATATATAACAATGTTTTAATTTTCGGTCTATTCTTTTCATTCCGCATCTTGCAGGTTTTCTACTTGTTGCACAAAAAATGTTTTATCTTTTAGTCTATTCTCATTATCCTTCTTATGGTTTTCAATATGTTTATTATTACCAGCAATAACCGAAGTATTGTCAATACCATTAATGAGTACAAACCCTACTTCTTTGTTACACATTATTAGTACCAAAGAGATGTACTAATGTGCAGTGACCCGCGACAATACTCACAAATCACTTTTCTTTCCTCGCATTAGAGTGTTTGACTACGTTGCGTTCAGTTGTTGGTACAGACCACACTATTTATTATCTTGTATAAGCTTTATATTCACTGGATAAAATGTATAAATATATATTTGTATTATTTGTTTTAAATGTAAGTAACAAATGACTAATTATTTTGCTGTCATACAAGTCTTAACAACTTTATCTGTATGAGAAACTTTCAATTTCAATACAAGAACTTCATTTTTTTTTTAATATTTATTTCAACCTACTAACATTATAAATACCTTACAGACTAACATACATACGAATGATACTAGAATAAAAGGTAATGATGGTTAAAAAAAAGTAAAAAAAATTTTAATACATCTGTATATATACATTTCAGTAGTGTTTACTTTAGCTGCCCAAACTGTTTAAATAACATTGTTTTAAAATTTTCAGCTGAATTTGTTAGTAAAAAGTGACGGCTCATTTCCTATTAATGAATGGATACCTATTTCGAAAAACGAAATTCTACATCATAATTTTATAACAAGTACCTACAACGTTGCAATCAATAAAGATGCTATTAGTGACACAGCACCAAATGAACAGGACGATGAAATGGAAATATTAAGAGATGGTGTAATTAAGATGGTGACACCTCAAATTACATTGAATAACAAAGGTTTCGAGAATCCATTACACGAAGAAACAAATAAAACTGCATTTGTACAAATATATGAGGGATGTATAGGTAAGATATGAACACTACAATTAATACTTACTGTTACTATATTGACGGCCTCGGTGGTCTAGCGGTAAAGGACACCACTTTTCTTCCGATGGTCGCGGGTTCGATTCCACGCACGGCACAAACATTTGTATTCATGAGTACGATTGTTTGTATCGGTCTGGGTGTTTTCTGTATAATATGTATGTATTTACGAGAAAAAATATCTGTGTACTTGTATCGGTTATCTAGTACCCATAACACAAGCTTTAGCTAGCTTAACTTGGGTCTAGATGGCGCTGTATAAATGTCCTGAGTTATTTATTATTATTATTATATTAAATACAAAATACCAATTCACTAATATTCAATTTTTCTTATTTATCAGCATGCAATAACGATACTGAAATTTTATACAACGAGAATTCAACAAAATCAACACATGGAGCGAAGAAAGTGGAATCTATAGATGTAGAAACCATTCGTAAACCTAAAGCGATTAGAGATAATATAATCTCTAATAACGTTATCAAATCAGATAAAGAAAAGGCAAGTACTGAAGAATCACCAAAAAATGAAGATATAATAACAGAAGAAGCTCACAATACATATGAAGTTATAGAAGATTTTATGTTACCTAAAGTTTTAAGCAACCAAGAGCATAACAATAATAAGTACGTGTATCCAATTCCCAAAATTAAGTTATCCACTTCTAATAATAGCAATTTAAAATCATTCAATAATACTTTAAGTGAGTATAATATAGAAAATCCTGATAAATTGTCAAATTATGCTCTGTCACGTTTGGGAAGAAATTATGAACGCAAGAAACACCAGAATGTTTATATTCCATTTTCTATTCCTTACGGATATGGTTATAACAGCAGAAATCATTTGCCAGTGAATCCTTTATTGGCTGTCTTTTTATCTAATTATGGTTATTACTTACCATCTCTGTATGGATTGCACAATAACTATAGAAACCTTTACGGATACTTGGCATCACATAACATACACAATAATTTACCGTTTGGTTATTATAAAATATTTTCTGATACAGACTCGTCGAATTAAAATTTTAAACTTAATACTTAGCACTAAGATGTCTGCATATAAATTGTAGCTCTAACATATATGTTAAACACATAAAGAGAGTAAATATTTCAACATACTTTTATTTTTAAGTACTTTGACACTACTTTGTTTTACATTTTTAATCAATAAAAAACTATTGATAAATCAAAAGTGATACATTTCATTCGAAACTGAAGTGGCAATGGTAGCTCGTAACTCGTAAAACAGATGGCCGTTGGGGCAATAAAGTCCTCGATTGGCGACAGCGGACCGGAAGACGCAGCGGTGGAAGGCCTCCAGCAAGGTGGACTGACGATCTGGTCAAGATCGCTGGAAGGCAATGGATGCGAGCAGCGCAGGACCGATCGTGTCGTGGAGATCTTTGGGGGAGGTCTTTGTTCAGCAGTGGACGTTTTCCGGGCTGAGATGATGATGATGACATTTCATTATTGGACTTTAAGAAAATAGTTCATGACTTTATGACTTTTAACTGCTTTAATGGAATATTTATTTATCACATCTTCCTATCTTTTTATCTCTTTTTTTAATTATTCTTTATCCAAGTGCAATTCAAATTCAAATCTTCAAAATATCTTTATTCATGTAGGTCTATTACAGACCCTTGTGATATGTCAAATCTACCGACAGTTCGGAATGATTTCCAGATGAGAATAGACAAGACACTCAGCTCGTATTCTTTTCAAATAAATGTTGCACAATGCAATCTATCTACTATTTTCTACTTAGCTAGGGACTAGATGGCGCTGTGTGAATTATCCAGGGTTATGATTATACCTGAATCCGTGTAAAGACGCCGAATTTCCTTTATTAACTACACCAAATAGTATCAAATAAACATTTTTCTTGACATGTAAAAATTGTCCTCTACAAATAGAGCACTTACTCTCTTCGCGGGTAGTTACAGTTGTTCACTAAAAGGCACCAGTTTAAAAATCATAGCCATGAATGTCCACTGCATAACTAACTCAACAATATTTATAATGCTTCACAAGACTCCTTTATCTTGTTCAATTTAAGGTTCAGAATCTATTAAAGCGATGTTAGAGGTAATTTTGCTGGTGTTTTGGAGACCATCCAAGTGGCCACAGTCGACAGTTTCGTGTGAATCGCCGAAAAGTTACCGTCGAATTGCTCCTACTTCTGGTTTGTGGTTTATGCTGAGAATTTTTAGCATTTGTGTAACAATTGGCATGCTGAATACCTTGGCTTGGCTTTTAATGACATTATGGGTGAGAGGAAAGGCATCTTAATCCTTTGTAATGGCAACTTATTAATCGTAGAATGAGAGATACGTCTAGGTATGTAAGCGACGGTAACCGTTTACCTTCCGTTCTTCCTTCCGTTGGATTTGCCGTTCATCTTGTTTGGCGGAATGATATAAGTACTGTAATTACTTTAAAATAAATTTAAAACTTGTTAATTTATATTTATTGAGCAAAACCTATTATTACTCACTAAATTATTTATTTTGTAATAATAATAAACCTGGACAATTAACATATAGCTATCTATATAGTTACATGGTAAGCAGAGCTTGTGTTATGGGTACTAGACAACTGATATAAATACTTAGATTTTTTTTTGTAAATACATACATAGAAAACACCCAGATCGATACAAACAAGTCATAATACAAACTCATGAATACAAATTAAAACGTGCGTGGAATTGAACTCGCGACGATCGGAATAAAGCCGCTCAACCGCTACACCACAGAGACCGCTATTATATAGGTATGGAACACTAAAAATGAGTAAATATTGTTTAGTCGTGAAATATAATGAATTGTCCTCACCCTGGCATGTCATTATTCATTGTTTACACCTGCCTACAGTTGAGTTTGATGAATTGACAAAGTTTGGTCTATTGTCGAAAAATTGAAACAGTCTAATCGTTGTTTGAAAGTTTAAATGATGTATCATACTTTTTAACCGACTTCAAATGGGGGAGACTCGCAATTTTGTTGTATTTTGATGTGCTACCTTTGGTATATACTACCATATAGTAATTTTAAGTAGCTGTGACGTAGTCGAGTGGAATGAGTAGTCATGCTTACTAAAATGTCCAGACATGTGGCGGCGTGGTGAGCGCAGTGATGGCTGGCTCATCCGTCATACTCGTGAACGGGTGCTGCTTGTAGGGACTGGTCTGCTCTAATCACTACGATGATTTCCTCTTATTTATTTCTTTAACCGGTTGATTATATATTTAATATTTTTTCTATTTGAGTACTAAATTGAATTACTGTTAATTGGTAGTTTGTATTCACACTTCAATTTAAAATGTAAAGCAACAATAAAATTATTTAAAACAACAACACGCAAGTTTCTTGCTCGTTCTTCTTGTGATGAGACAGCTTTCCGAATGAGCGGTAGATTAAAAAAAAATGTGATGACTATTTAAAAGTGCTTCAATGTAAGTTTATTAACTGATTTTCTATTCTATTCTATACTCACTACATTATCTACATTGGTCACAAGCTATATCCCCGCGCAATTAATGAAAAAAAAAATGAAAATCAACACTAGCTTCAGTGACTGGATGTTGAGCGGAGTCCTTGTTTTCAAATATTTTATAGTAGCATATTGGTTTGTATTGTTTTATTATGTTTGACTGTATGTTACATTCGGCATGTACACATATGTATACATGCTGACAATTTAATTTCATGTATGCAATTTGTAATGCACGTAATATCTATAATATTTGCTAAATAGATGTGTATTAATATTCCTAGCTGTTCACGCGACTTCGTCTGCGTGGAATTTAACTTTATTTTTCGAAAATACAAGTAGCCTAAGTTACTCCTTATTACATCAGCTACCTGCAAAAAAAGTCCCATCAAAATCGATCCAGCCATTTCAGAGATTAGCCGGAACAAATAGACAGATAAAAATTCTAAAAATGTTACTTTAGTGTATGTACCGTATTTATATGAATGTAGTAAAAAACGATTACTTCAATATTACAAACATACACTCCAATTTTATTTATATGTATATATTATTAAATAAGTTGAACAGAGTTATAAAACTGTTTAAACAGTGCAAACGTATATTTATGCGTCTTTTTTTCTGGTAATAAATAAATAATATTATTGTTCACTATTCACAATAATACGCACGGCAACATTATCGCGATATCGAATGCCGTAAATAATAAAAAAAAAGTAAAAAAATAAAAAGGGATTACGAGGGTGGGAGTCGTTTCGCCTTTGTCGTTGTCGAAAAAAGTGTTCTGATGATCGCTGTCGTAATTGTGGTAATTGTCGATATTTTATATAGATTTCTTAACTAAATATTCTTAACGAAATAATAAAGGAACGCAAGAGTTGATACTGGAAAGCACCTATTGTCGGTTTTGGCGGTAAACAGGTAACCCGTTCAAAAGGTAAGTTCGGACAAGCCCGGAGTTCTGGGAAGCCTTGCTGAAACCGAACCGGCAATCCTCGCAGTACAAGGTGAGTGCCTTCCAAATTATCAATCTTGCTCAAATCCAATTGTCGTAAATACAGTCCACTAAAGACAGCTGAATTCAAAATTTTACGTTAGCTGTTTTCATAACAATTATTAAAACGAACACATCAAATGACGTTGCCAAAATGAAACAGTCATTCCATCTCGGTGGTATCTATACTGAGTTTATTGGATTGGAGTCGGTCCAGGCAGCGCGGCGTGTTTGCACACGTCCGCTATATGCCTTCATACGGCTTACATGGTTTCACTGAAAAAACAAACTGAAAGAGTGCTCAGTGAAGTTATAAAGACATATAGAAAAATGTTTGTTTTACCCGACTATCGAAGTGGAAAGAGTAATTTTTCTTTGCAAATGCGTATTTTTGTTTGTCACTATATTACAAATCAATAAATGAATAGAATAGAAAATCAATTATTCAAATAAACTTAATTTAAGCACTTTTGAATAGTCATAGTGATCATTCTTTTAATCTACCGCTCATTCGGAAAACTGTCTTATCACAAGAAGAACGATCGAGAAACTTGCGTGTTGCTCTTTTAAATAATCATTGTAATTTTACATTTCCAATTCGTGACGTGCGAATACAAACCACCAACTAGCACTGATTTATTAGCTTCGAATATTAAGTACACAATAGGATTAAAACAGTCGTAGTGATTAGAGCAGACCAGTCCCTACAAGCAGCACTCGTTCGCGAGTATGACGTATGATGAATTAACGAATTAACTCGTATGTGGTTGATTTATATGCGGTCGAAGTGGAGGTATACCAGCAAAATCTCTCTACAATCTTCCAAAACCTCAGCGGTGTCCTCAGACTGTCGTATCCGTCAGAAGGGAGTATTTTTTTTGGCGATTTGGAAACGAGAGGTATATCAGCGAATCTCTGTACAGTCTTCTAAAATTTCTGTCTAGAACTTCAGTGGACTCTATTCTAGAACATATGCACTAGCAGGCTTCCACCAGATTTGGCTGAGCAGGGAGACATGAGCGGTGGAGGTGAGTGTTCACATATGTCAGCATGGGCTCCTTAAACCTACACCCGGATCGATACATTCGATGGTCTTACCGGGTACGAAATACTACTACTAGTGCTGCAAAGAGCCAATGTAGGTGGCATTGAGTCGCTTCGGTGGTGTGGGCATGTGACGCGTATGACGGAGGAAAGAACAGCTAAGCACATATTTTACTTAGAACTTGAGGAAGGCAAGCGAAATCATGGCGGACAACTCCTCAGGTACCAAGATGTACTGAAGCGACACATGAAGCAGTGCGACATCAATCCTTCGCTGTGGGAGCAGCAGGCTGCTAGACAGCCGGAGTGAAGAGCGCTTGTTAAATCTAGCGTCAAAGTCTTTGAAAACCGGCGGCCCCTTGAGCTGGATGCCAGACGCGACGAGCTGAAAGTCCGATCACCTGCGGCTATCAGCTATAATTATGTGATGGTGTGCTCTCATGTCCGCACATTGCGAGGATTTTTATAAACAAAATTGGCTACATAAGCCACATGCGAGCACATCAACGGCAAAACC